TGGGAAAAAATAACTTTACTTTTGTTCTTTGTTTCTAATTAAGCTCAAAGCTACACAATGGGCTATCTGTGCTCTGCCCACCACGGGTATCGAAACCCGGATTCTAGCGCTGTAAGTCCGCAGACATACCACTGTGTCACTAGGGGGCAATAACTTTACAGGTGTTAATATGCGGTTGGTATTATTTGGTTGGTACTACAGAAAATATTTGCCGAAGAGAACTGAAACCCATTCAAGTATTCTTTTCAGAGTGATAATTTGATTTCAAACTATTTTAAATGGAAAACTGTATAGTCATTTTTGCTCTACCCTGTATATATAGATACACACACACACATGTGGGTAGATAGATGTAGATAACCCTATTTATAAATACACACACATGTAGATAGATAGAGTTCGGAGATCGGTAAGAGTAATACCTTGAACACTATGCCTCGTGTTATACCTATATCTCACTTGTAGAATCTTAGACTTTAACAACACCACAACAAAGTTCAAACACCTGACAAAGAAGTGCCGAAGACACGTATTACCTAAGAAATGATTTCTAGCTTTAAGTGAAATACGTAAATTTACTGTGAGGCGCTGTAAGCTTTCCGTAAATTACAGGTCTACAGATGTCCGGGTTGCAATTTCAGTTCGATGATTTCTGATGACAGTTGCGCAGTTTGGATGACGGAAGCGGTTAAAAAGTTAAAGAGTTTCAAAAAACAAACCAAGGAACGGTTGACTAGGCTACGGGAACGACTCACACCTATTAGGCCGGATGCCGATCCATATTAACCTTGACTCAAAGAAGAGAAAGGCGCGGCAAGTCTGCCTCAAAACACTCAGTGTAGCGTAACTAATGGGCCGATCTATCGACAATGTGCATGCGCGATCCATCCACATGTAACGTAAGTACTTTCCCAGCTAAAACCTCGCGGCGTACCACACATAAAATCAACCCAATTGCGTATGTTAATTTGGTTACGTTATATCACTGTATCGTTCCTATTTGTTACAGCGATCAACTGCGTAATGCAGGTTAACTGGTTAAATATAGCTAATGTGGAGTTTGTATGGCCTAAATTCGGAAAGTTCTTGCCTTACTGACTCAGCACATTTTTATGTAATTCATCAATAATTTTTCCATGAAAAAGTGTTTGTTCTAGATATACAGGTTTGAAAAAACTGAATATGGGTTTGTTCTCTAGGAATGAAAAAGATTCTCCTTTCCCGCGTCCAAGAACGTTGATACGCCACAGAAAACGACTAGATTGACGACTGCCGTCCCGTCTACTCATTCAGATCGTAGGTTACTTTCGACCTGTTACAATCTAGATCTCTACGTCTCGGGAAATCTGTCAACGACAAAAGCTGTGTACGTATATGATGATCTATAGAAATCCTCAAGAAATTTGGTGAAATTCACCCATTGAATCCTCGATAAATTTGGTAAAATTCACCCATTGAAGCTGAAACTTCGTAGAAAAACTCATTTCGAACTTTTTCAGTGTTGTACAACGCTCCTCGTTTTGTTTTACTTTTCAAGCCCAGCTGTAACTACACGACTTATGGAGTCGGTCCATTCCACTGGGAAGGCATGAAGCTGAATCGTACTCACAGCGGTTTTAGTTATTACTGAGATCACTCACGGTTCATCCCTTACTGAGAGACTTTTGCAACATCGTCGTCATGAGTTCGTACACGGCCCAGTCCTGGAGCCATCAGCGGCTCTACTCACCCCGAGAGTTCGTCCGTCGCTTCAGCCTCCCACAGGTTGTTACTATCCATGAAGGTATGACTCATCACGTCCAGACTCCTACGGCACTGGACATTGGTCAGCCCTTTCTCCTATACCAGTCTTACAATTGTCGGAAGGTTCACGCTCGCAGTTTAGACAGGGATAAGCGAGGAAGGGCCAAAGCTGTAGGACTTCCTCTGGTGGTCCCTGAAAGTTATTCAGGTAGGAACCATAAACTACTTGTTTTCAGCTTCTAATTAGAAGTAAGCTTAAAATAATACATGAACTTTTTCATCATGCTAAGGTGTATATTAACTGTAAAACATGAACTGCATAGCTTACTGCTAAACTTAAAGATACTTAAAGATCAGAGTCACTTAATATCATGATACAAGAAAAGGAAGAACTTCAACTACAAGAGAAAAAAAAAAGAGGAAGAAAGTGAATTCAGACCTGATCACCTTTTTTTTTTGTTATCGTGTATATATATATACTAATTCTTGCCAAGCTTCTTGCACTTTCAATCTTTAATCCTAGCATTTTCACAGTTGTTGTCGCATTTCAATGATAATAGATACTAGGCTTGGGAACAGCTTCTAACTTCCGAACGAAGGTTTCACTAAATTAAAAACTGAAAACCTGAAGTGTGTATGTGTGTAATATTACAACACGATAAGACTAATATTACATATTTCTTTACCAATTGATTTGAAATTAGTGAAGAGTTTATTTACACAAGTTAAATAACCATCAAATTTTCCCAGACTCTTGAGTTCTTGAGGTTTTTGTATGAGTGACTTAATGCTCTAAACGTAACGGTCTCTTTATAACAAAAATTTACTCAAGAAACTCATAATTTACTGCAATGATCAGGATGAGTAGTTTAATGCTCTAAACGTAACGGTCTCTTTATAACAGAAATCAACTCAATAAACTCATAATTTACTGCAATGATCAGGATGAGTAGTTTAATGCTCTAAACGTAACGGTCTCTTTATAACAGAAATCAACTCAATAAACTCATAATTTACTGCAATGATCATCATGAGTGACGCCCGACATGGCCAGGTGGATAAGGCGCTCGACTCACAATCTGAGGGTCGCGGGTTCGAATCCGCATTCCACCAAACATGCTCGCCCTTTCAGCCGTGGGGGCGTTATAATGTGACGGTCAATCCCACTATTCGTT